GGAACACAACTTTACGCGATGCGCGGTGGTAAGAGGGGAACTCTACGATGTAGTCAAACAAATACTCGTATAATTTAGTAAAATAAGGCCATTCCATAAGCCGTGTTTAATATTATAGCACTCTTAGCAAAATAGCTGCCGTATTATGCGTTACATTGTGCACAATGACGAAATGTTCATGCTTAAGTACTATGCATTTTTTGTTTAGTTAGGGTAATTTTTTGAGTTTTAGCAATGCATCTTGCGTTCTAGTTTATTTTAAACTAACAAATCCAAACGTTTGGCAGAGAAAAAAGGGGAAACCTAAAATAAAATAAAATCTCTCCACCCATCTACATACAGGTAATGCTACGGTTGACATCCAATTTTGTGAGGAACCACATTTAACTTTTGATTTAATCATTCTACCACGCTATGTAGGCTGGCCCTAGGCCCATGATAGTAGCCCATGTACCTTCTTAATGTTAAATATATGTATTCTGTTAGTGCATTATATCAACTTTCGGCTTCAAGGAAGTCTCGTAATGCTATATAAAAACTCCATTGAAATCAATCTCATCTTCCTGATAATGCAACAGTAGTTGTGCCACATCAGTTACAGCCACGAATCGAGCTTGTATTTACAGTCTAGCGATTGGCAAAGCTGTACGGGAAATCGTTGCCTTTAAACAAACTGGAAAATGTAAAGGGGAACTCCAATTGAGAAACAGAACTGATTTTCCTTTGATTACTTTTTAGAGGCAAGCAACCACCCACCACTTGTCTACTGCATGGATGCTTCGTTGCTGTCTCAAAGTGCCCATGGCATTGACCCCGTCCTACACATTTGAATATGTCCCAGACCCGTAAAGATGTGGTACTAGGCAAGAGTGGGCAGTTTCAGCTTCCTTCATATGTCGTTAGCAGTGACTACACTCCGTTCGTTTTGCACATGTTTTGCAAAAAAATGTAAGTACTCTCAGAGACAACAACTGTTTACCCTTGAACTTAAATTGGTGTGCTCTATTATTATGAACTGAAAACTCCTCCTTACACCTTAATCCTAAGTTCAGGAAACCATCGCGACGAAAAATGACAAGTAAATCCCATCCAACAGAGCACAAATTGTTTTGTTTCGTTTATGGCTAACTTGCAAACAAGAAATGCAGGAAAGTACATACTGGGAA